TCGTCGTCGTCCTCGTCGTCGACGTCGGCATCGTCGTCGTCGTCGCCGCCGTCGTCGTCGTCGTCGTCGGCGTCGTTGACGTCGTCGTCGTGGTCGTCGGTGTCGTCGTTGTCGTCGTCGTCGTCAGCGTCGTCATCGTCGTCGTCGTTGTCATCGTCGTCGTCGTCGTCGTCGTCGTCGGCGTCGGCGTCGTCGTCATTGTCGGCGTCGTTGTCGTCGTTGTCGCTGTCGTCGTCGGCGTCGCTGTCGTTGCCAAGTGCCATTTGGTACCCACCGTCACGGTCTTAAGAGATTTTGCAAACCAAGTTGCGGGTGGGTGGGTGGGATGTCTACGCGAGCAGTGGAGTGGACAACTCACTGCGAACAGAAATTAAATTGAACACACCAAATAGATTGCGCTACATAATATGTGCTGCACAGTATCGATAGCACCACACCGATTGCGCAACCTACAGTGCACAACCTACATTGCTACAGACACGCTCTTAGGGGTCCAGGCTGGCGAAAATTATATTGTGCTTTCCTGTTCATCTCGCGAGACCACACAGTACCTATACGACCACCCTTCGGGTGATAAAGAGGTTGTGGGGGGGAGAGGGGGGGAAGCAACATCTGACTCAATCGATCTCAGTATCGATCTCACTCAACGGGACACCACAGGACACCACGGGACACCATAGGACACCACGGGACACCACGGGACACCTCGGGACTCCACATCGATCTCACTATCGATCTCACTATCGATCTCAGTATCGATCTCACTCAAAGGGACACCATGGGACACCACGGGACACCTCGGGACACCACATCGATCTCACTATCGATCTCACTCAACGGGACACCTCGGGACACCTCGGGACACCTGTCGATATCATTATCGATCTCACTATCGATCTCACTTTTTGGGACATCACGGGACACCACGGGATACATCGGGGCACCACGTCGACTTCAATATCGATCTCACTATCGATCTCACTCAAAAGGGACACCGCGGGACACCTGTCGATCTCACTATCGATCGCACCATCGATCTCACTCAACGGGACACCACGGGACACCTCGGGACACCTCGGGGCACCACATCGATCTCAGTATCGAGCTCAGTGTCGATCTCAGTATCGATCTCACTATCGAACTCACTCAACGGGACAGCACGTGACACCACGGGACACCACGCCTCATCGCGGGACACAGCGAGCCACCGCCGGACTGACGGACGGACGGGCGGGCGGGGGATACTTATTTGTCTTGACTTTGCCCTAGCAGCAGCGGACACCACGGGACACCACGCCTCATCGCGGGACACCGCGAGCCACCGCCTGACGGGCGGGAGGGGGAGAATCATTTGTCTTGACTTCGCCCTAGCAACGGCGGACACCACGGGACACCGCGGGACTCCACCGCGGGACACCGCGGGCCACCGCCGGACGGGCGGGAGGGGGATGATCATTTGTCTGGACTTCGCCCTAGCATCGGCGGGTTCATTCCTCTCGCGCGCCCGCGCAGCTTCGCCTCGCCCGCACGCACGACACGAACGAAACGAAACGATTTCCCGGTTGGGGGTCTCCGTTCCACTGCGATCTCACCCCCCAACCTCCGACGTCGAGTTCACGACCTACTAAATTCAGACCGCTTGCTGAACTGGGGTGGGGCGTGAATCCGATCTCCTTTTTTATCGAGCGGACGCTGACGAGAGGCAGAATTCACGACCCTGCCCAATTCAAACCGTTCGCTGAGCTGCAGCAGGGCGCGAACTCGACCTCCTCCCCACAACGCGGACGAAGCCGAAGTCGAGTTCACGACCCACGGCCGTCGGACAGCTCGCTGTACTGCCGCGAAGCGTGAACTCGACCCCCTTCCTGCCGTGCGGTCGGAGACGAGGTCGAGTTCGCGACCCGCCTAAGTTCAGACTGCTCACTGGACTGCAACGGGGCGCGACCTACCTCCCAACGTGCGGCAAAGTCTTGACCGACTCCCCGAGACGTCCAAGTTCAGACCTGTCGCTGTACTGCCGCGAAGCGTGAACTCGACCCCCTTCCTGCCGTGCGGTCGAAGTTGAGGTCGTGTTCAGGAGGAGGAGGAGGAGGAGAAGGAGGAGGAGGAGGAGGAGGAGGAGGGGAGGGGGAGGAGGAGGAGGAGGAGGAGGAGGAGGAGGAGGAGGAGGAGGAGGAGGAGGAGGAGGACCCGCCCAAGTCCAGGCAAGTCGCTGAACTGCAGATGGGGCGTGAACTCGACCTGCTTGCCACCGCACGGACGAAGATGAGGTCGAGTCCACGACCCGTCCCAAGTCAGACCACTCGTTGGCACTGCGATGTTCCGGAGCGGAGCCGCCGTCCTGCTGCGCTTTCATGCGGGCGCGGTGGCGGAGCTTGCCGCAGGCCGCTGGGCAGATTGGGAAAGAGAGGTGCGGAGGAGGGGGGGCCATGAGAGATCGGGGAAGGGGGGCGTGGGAAGTGGGAGAACAGGAGCGGTAATCGGAAAGCGGCTGGGAGCA